CGCCACTTCCATAATAATTTGAAGAAATGGTCATCCCAGAGATCCCCCTTGAGGCCGTGCCGTCTGCGGATTTTGTTCTTCAAGATGGACCACAAGCCCTCAACACGCTGGGTGTGGACTCCCGTCGCTGGATCTACAAAGTTGACGCTGTGGTTCACCGTCTCATGGATGTAACCGAGGTTGGAGAGGTTGTTGTAACCGCTCCACATATCGGTTCGAATCGTTCCTCCAGGAGCGACGTGCCGCTGGATAATACTTTCCAGAGTAGCGGCGTGCGCAGCAGGAAATTCGTGAGCCAGGGGGAATGTAGCCAATTCAGGGGGGTGGGGGTGAGGGCAGTCACTTGACATGCGTGAGAAGCTGGAATGTTCGAGTTACACTACATCGCTGAGCCGCGCGCGGCGACTGCCCCCCCCGAGCCACATTGCGCCCGATTTTATGATCAAGTTCTTGTATTCAAACACGCTGAATGCAAAATCACACTGTTCGGCACACCCCTGCCAAGGCTTAGTCCTAGTGCTCTCTCGCTTGAGAGAGCGCTAGACGAGCACAGCACTGCGCCGCCGCATGCTCCTCGCTGAGAGGAATCTATACGAGCAGAGCGCCGCGCCGCCGCGTGCCCCCCCCCCAACTAAGATAGCACCATGGCGTTTCCCCAAAAAGGAGTGTTCAACGGTAATACCTTGAACTTGAGTTGTTTCACTTATTTTTTGATGACGTCATCACTAAGTAGGTGTTTTTGGCATTGAAACGAAGTCATGGCAATAAAGCTGCGAAGCGAAATAGATGAATATTAGGCATACCACATTCGGCTTAGAGAAATTCCTCCTCGTTCCCTGCTTTATTCGATTACAAATATTCATTTTTGGAAGGAGTCGTATCGAGATCCCCTTAAAGGAATCTTCCACGGAAAGAGGGATCAATATCAAAACTAACGCTTATGTTCCGTTCTTTTTGCTATGCTCATGAGGCTAGGGGCCTAAGGTATCGTTTTTCTGTGGTAATGGAGGCGGAGCTTTTTCCGTGGAAGATTCCTTTAAGAGAGAGAAAGTCGTCTAGATTTTTAAAATTAGCCATACGAGGCGGACAGTGGCATCAGCAGCATACCTGTGTGCAACCATCCATCTCTGATACAATGCTCTGTGGCTTCGACATTGTGAAAATAACCAGGCATCACTGTCGGGCCTCGAATGCAAACCTCGCCAATTTCGCCAGCTGCTTGTTCTTTACCCGTCTCTGGATCGACAATCTGAAAGTAAATGGTATTGAAGCTTGTTGATTTGCAATTAAGCTTTTTTAGTCAGTAAGCTAATGCACTATCAATATTAAGGATTGAAGTTTATTCCAGAATAACTGTTTGAATTCTCCGGATGCTCGAACATTCATCTCGACCTGTTTTGTGGAAATTTCTTCACCATACGAAATCACCAATTCGAAAAAATGAAATTCAAGAATACCACCTTCATCTCCAGATTTGGCAGAAGTTTTCCAACACTTCCAAAAGGTTGACCGAGAACTATATCAGGCAGATGACTGGCCATAGTCACTTCTGACATCCCGTATCCTGAACTTTTAGGATTGAGCGCGCGAATTGATGCTCTCGACAGTAATTTCTACCTTGTTGGATGAACTGGATATTCCTATGCTTTTGCTGTACTTCCTGACATAAATCTTTTCCGGCTGGTGCAGCCACTCGTAGTGTTCGCAAATTGGATTTTTCGACAAGAAAACAAGGACCGGTGGTGCGACGCAGATGAAACGAATCTGAATCATTCCGCTAAAATTTAGTCGAGGATTGGGGTTCATCAAAGGTATCGCCCACGGAAACAACTCTGCATTACGTTTTCAACTGTTGATGACCACGTTTGGGCAAACCAGGAAGAGGCGGGGAAAAAAATCCGCTTTGATTGTACTCGAATGGCAACAACTCTCTTCCTAACTCAAAGATAAAACTCGCGATAACCCTGTACCAACCTGTTGAAATATGAATGTGGATGTGCCAATCGGTACGCTTGTGAAAAAAAAAACAAGCGAAACGTATAAAATTCGAGAAAAACTCTCATCTCCCTGTAGATTTCATATGTGTACGAGTTGACCACGGCTGTTTGGCGCTCTGTGTGAGCTGCAACACCTCTTCTTTGTAATAATACTATTACTAGTTATTTCATTCCCTATCGTCACGGTAATATATCTCATACTGCCATACTAACCGGTCATTTCAACCAGAAATACAACATCTCGGCACACATATGCAGTCACACGTTTCCGTGGGCGAAACTTTCACAAAAGCATACCCGATGGCGTTGAATAGTCTTGCAGAAGAGATCCGGTTGAAAGCGTTCCATCACCGACGGGCCGTATGCTTTCAAGAAGACGCATGAGAAACGCTTAATAATACCGTCAATTCACGGTGATTATCCTGACAAACATTCAGTTAAATTGCGCTCTTAATTTTAGCTAGATGCAGTAGAACGGCAAAAACATCAACGTTTTGTCTTTCGCGGGATTCCAAGACGGTTCCAAAGCGCCACACATGTGATGATCATCGTGCCTTGAAGGTACGTGCTGTTTGGAGGTGTAGCTCAACAGGCCTCCGCGCAACAAATGAATAGAGACGCTGAGGCATCGCTCTGAAGTTGTGTTGCCTAATGTCCCAGCGTTGGACCGTTGGCCACAAATAAAGTTATTACGAGGCTACTTCACAGTCACTCCACTGCCTAAGTTCATCTGAATGTGATGTAGTCTAGCCTAAGCTATAGCCTAAATGAAAATTGGTGTGCCCAAAGCGCTACAGCGGGCAAGACACAACTACCTAGCCACTGCGTTTCTATCCTCTCGCCACGCGATGAGTCCGCTAATCCTAATCAACACTCCGATAAACTGTTGCAACATGAATTAGGGGTGTGCCTATTCATCGTGCAGAGGTGCGAGTGCTAAGTGCAAGAATAGAAGCTCGACACCTGAACCTCTAAGCCCTGCGGTGTCTCTTCATTCGCGAATTCTTTGAGAATAAGACGCTGCCTCAAATATACGTCATCCACCTCTCGCGTCCCACAGCTCATTTGCGCTCGGTTACCAGTGCGTTTTGCGCCATTGGCCCCACCCTTTTTTTCACTATTTATCCTGTAGATTTTTCCACGTATATACACATATATTGTTGCAACTGCGCTAGTTTATCCTTGATTCTTTTATATACCGGAATCGTTCTTTTATGTCGAGCCGTATTTCCGTAATCGTGCCAGTCTGTCCACTCAGCTATTCTAAACTGCAGTTTGGTTCTCGTCTTTCATTACTTCGTCCATGTTGGTGTATTACATCAATATAGCAATGTGTACGTGGACGAATCTGTAATCTAGAGCAGCGAAAGGACGAAAATAGAACCACAGAATTAAAGGACTGGATAGTAACTGTGGGTCCTGGACGAAACCTTGTCTGGGTCCCCAACATTCAGCATGGCTGGGACCCCATCCCCTATCCAACGTTCAGCATACGGCCCCAGCAGTCAGAAGCCTATGGTCACCGCCACAAATAGGTGACTGCCGGTGGGCATGTCAGTTTTCACCTGCAAGGGTGAGTAGCCAGCTCAATGCGAGGAAGACGGCTTTCCCAAGCATAAGCCGGCCGTGTCCTCTCCTGCTTCGAATTGTACTCTCTTCGTATTCGTCTAATATTTGTATTGTATTGAAGGCTCCGAAGTAAGAACCCAGACGGCAATTTTGGACTTACTCCGAGAGTGATTAAAATAACGAGCTCCTTCAAGAAGATGGTGAGTTAATGCCTTGATAAATCTGTGTGTTTGTTATTTTGTGTTATTAATTGCTATGTTCATGTGGTTCTATCCTAGCTTATATCTGGCATACAATTGTGTGTCTAACGTGTAGTAGAATTGCCCACTTAGGTTGGCTAGCCGCGCATACCAACCGTTCAAGAAGCCCTCAAATGGAAATCGAGGACCAACGCTAGGTATTCACGGGACTGAGGGAATTTGTACTGCCACAAAAGACATCCTCGGGATGAGCACTCTTTTCAACCCGTCCGAACCCTCATCATAGGTCCCTTCAATACTTCCTTATCGCTGGTATGTCGATGTATCGTGTTTATTGTATATGAGAACAGTTGATCAGTCGCAAGTATTGTAATTTTAAGATTGGTCTGATGATGGCATTATTGCCGAAAGCTTGCCAATAAAGTGTGAAAGTCCAAGAGCTTCAAGAACATTCAATCTGCTATCCAGGATAAAATGAAGCTCAGAGATAGCAGCATTTTGTCATTTGCCAGAAAAGTGTTGGAAAAAGGCTTGAAGGTATTGTCTATGTGCATATTCTATTCTATGTTTCTATTTTATGCTTCTATGTTCTATTTGTGTCACTCTCAGAACGAAAAAAATGACATGCTATAAATACTGTAAGATATTGAAGAAACTATTGACAGGAGAAAATAAAGTGCTTCAACTCACTGTCTGTAGATGTTCATCATCGTGCCGAAGTTTTGATGAGAAGACCATAACCCCCTTTGGCACTCCTGTCGTGCCACTTAAAAATAAAAATGCCTGGAAGTTATTCGTATAACTGAACATAAAAATTTCGCCTGGAAAAGAGAGATTTCGAATTCGAACCTGAGTAAAACTAACAGTGAGTAATGATATAAGTCTAACGTTTACGTGAGCCATCCTTCAGAACTAGAGGATCACTAGATGATAAGTACTATAACCAAGTGAAGTAAGAGCAACTTAGGGTAGAATTAACTAATACAGAACCTGGGCTGAGGTCACGATTGCGAGTCTCAGAGTACAAGATGTCGCTATGTTTCACGTTCATCGTCGACTTGAAGAAGGCTTTGACTCTGTGGGAGAAGAATCATCGAAGTCATGGGATCAGGAATAATCCTGTTTATATTCTTCGATAACTCTACAACAGCCATAAACGCTCAAGATTCATTCAATTCTAGAGAAGGATCATAATCGAAGAACGAAGGACGTACTCGATAGTGAAAGATACACATATCTCGTCCGGAGTTCTTAAATTCTCATAGGCTTCATGCGCAGCTTTTCACTGACGCATTCTTTCCTGTCTTCCCGTATGCCTCAGTGACTACGAATATGCCTCAGTGACTCAGTGACTACGAAGAGCATATAGTCAGTGTTATCTAATGCTTGTAGACTGGACGACGCTGACAATGAGATGTCACGTATTTGTCTTGCAAAGAAAGAAATGTGCAGATCCGAACTCCATAATCGTTCAAAGGCTAGAAAAGCAGCCGCATTCACATAACACAGAGGCCTACAAATGAAGACTTTGCTGAATTCGCTTCGAAGAACAGAGACGGTAGGCGAAACGGCTTACTGTGAAACGAATAACAAAAATACATGATTACAGAAGCAGATAGATTGTGCTTCTATTTCTTCAAGGAGGTAACACTTCAGACTCTACTAGTTGCATTCAAAGAATACGGTAATGGATTAAATGTCGAAAAAATTAGTTCACACCTCGAGTATGGCAGGAACAGTACACTGCTAGCAATGTCGATATCTGGTTTGGGAACTGCTTTAGCAGGTGTGCCGACCACATCCTCATTCCAAGAGTGCACCCCAGCTGTAAGGTGACCAGAAGGTTCGTCTTGAATGCAGATCACATGCTGAAACGGCCCTTTGAAAATAATTATTTATTGACTGTGGATATCCATTAAAATTCCTCGCGAGTTAATAAAGTGCCCTTATCAGGCTAAAGCTCAGGCAGGATCGCCTTCTTCACGACGAAGCAATTAATGACTACCCCACCGAACATCGTAATCCTTATGATGTTCGAGATCATAGAAAAAAGGGACCGATCCCCCGGAATATTCTTCAAAAAAACCCGCATCAGTTTTACTGTAAATAAAATCTTGTCCGTAACGCCATATTGGAGGCTTGATCGATAATCGATCACATCGATTGCAAACCATCAAGAAGTACCGCGTGAGAAGGACTGCAGCAAGAAGCGGGTGTAACTCTAATCAAATGCTTCGCTTTTTTGTAGCCCTGTTCCAAATGCTGGAGTGGTGAAGCAGTTTGACCTAAATTTTTAGCTCCACCCACACCTGCCATCACATGAGACTTGAGACGTATAACAGGAAGTGATTCATCCCAAAAAGCAGGAATCCGGGAACCCGCAAAAGTGCATACGTTATGGCAGTTATTATGTCATCAGCACTTTGACTCTTACTGAGTTAATACTTATAACTTACTTTCATGTATGGCGAGTCGCGAGAAGCGGTCAGCACTTTTGTTAACGACTCCTTGTTTGTGAGCACC